GAGCCAGATCATCTAGCGAAGTGAGATCGACAAGCTGCGTTCTAGCTGTCCATTGGATACCGTGCTTCCCTCCAGATGTCGACCCGTTTTCATAATCCCAGTCCCGATCACCAGGAGAAAGGACGAAAGGGTGAGACTAGGCACCTTGCATGACACCGGTCTTCACCTCAAACAAGTTTGTCACCTGACCTCCGTGCACGATTTTGCAGTTTAATCCATCATAAGAATTCCGTATGATGTTAACTAACTTCTCAGGCACGCCGTAGTGTCGAAGCCTCCACAATGAAATGGTCAATTCACGTGTTACATAAAATTTGTACATAAAAATGTAAGCACTTGATATGATGAACATCATTATTTTCCTGTATTTAGAACAAGGAGTTATTCCTAACCATTCTGAATGTTTTGAGTACCGTAAAAAGGTATTTCTATTCAATATTTTATATTCTAAAGGTTCATTTCTGAAATTTGCACAAAAATGTGAGGATATTTTTTAATTATCTCTGTGCTAAAAACCTTTACATAAATCTCAAATACTACCACTATGGGATTTGAAACGACAATTCTATTTCTCTGTGCTAATGTGGTTGGTATATAGCCACTTGAACTGGTTGGTGAATATGTACGTACCGAATTCTATGTTGTTGCTGACTGACTGATTATAATATCAAATAATCAATTTCAAAAGTTCAAAATTCACTCCACCTACCTTACGTGGACGAGTTTAGTATAAATAATCAGTCTGTACCTATCTAAAGGTATACCATATAACTGATTACATTAATGTACAGTTTGATAATTAGTTAACAATCATCATTCCCACTTTAATTTTATCCTATTTTAATTTCAAAAATTAAGAATTTAATGAAGTTAGAAATTTAAACTATTAAATCGTAACTCGGTAGCGTGGAAATTAAGCACTCTCAATGAGGCCTGATGATTCTGGATGAAGTTGTTGATTTGCACTTCTTCTGCTGGATTTCAATGCTTAGTTAACTAAGGTCAATTCGTGATGTACATCACAATAACTTAGTCCGATTTTAATATGGTATTTTGTAATTCTAACTAAAGTTGAATTTCCATATCACATATAACCAGAAATTCTTTTTATCGAATCTATAAGTCTTAGGTGAATGTTAGAAACTTCTATCTGAAGTTTGTACTGGTGATGTTCAGAAGAACTATGAAAGCTCCACAACTAAAACATCCACTTCAAAGAACAAAACACCACCACAATCATCCACCTAAGGTAAAAATTTTCTTCACCATCTCAAAATTAATATCTATTTTAAGCTAAATCACTAGAGCTAACAACAAAGTAACTAAGCTACAATTACCATTCATTTTTTAACATATTGTCATTAAAGTAGTTTGTGAATAAAACAAACAGTTAATCTTATTTCTGTGCATATTCTTAACCTAGTCTTGTATTTCAAACATACTGGAATTGGTAGATAGGAAGGATATCTTGATGAATAAATTCATTTTTGCATACATTTTATTTATACACAAACAATTTAAATATCATTAAGATAATAATATTTAAAAATTAACTGTTGTCATTCCAATGACTACTTACTGGTCATATTTTTAGACTTTCTAAAAGAACTCCGATCAGATAACATCAAATTTATTGTTATTTAGCCTGATCAGTCAGTCAACAACAACATAGAACTTCGTGTGTAAGTACATCAGTTCAAGTTGCCATACTACATTAGCACAGAGATGCAATTGTCGATTCAAGTCCCATAGTACTAGAGAAAATAAAAGTATTAGCAGTAATTGGACAGATTAGGGTTCGAGGAAACTTTAAAAAATAAGATGAAGGTGAGGATGAATTCAGAAGGCTGAGATTTGAGAGAACACAAAGAATGAATGCACCTGCGCCACTGCAAACGATTATGAGCCTTGTCATTCAAGGTCTCTAACCATCGATTACTATCGTCTTGCGAACCCAAACTAGGTAGTCTGTATCTACCAACATGACTCAGTCCACCTGTCAACAACTTCATAGATTTATGCCATGTTTTGATCTGGCCACCCCTATCTTTCTTCCAACCTATTCCTACATCACAAAACATAGTTTGTCGAGGCAGTCGGTGGTTGGGCATACGCAACACATGTCCCAACCACCTCAACTGATGAAGTTTCACTACTTCATCTATTGATCTGCCATTCTTACCTAGCACCCGATTCCTAATAACAGCGTTGCTCACTCGGGTGTCCCACGATATACGAGCAATGCTTCGAAGACACCTATGATCGAAAACCAGTAACCTACGAATATCTTCTACTCTCACTGGCCATGTTTCACAGCCATAAAGTAAGACGGAGCGAACTACTGCGCAGTACACTCGTCCTTTAGTCAGCGAACGGATATCACGCCTACGCCATAAGTGACGCAGCCGAACTGAGATTTCGTCAATTACCAGGCCGTCAGCACTGATGAGACTCCCAAGATAAGTGGAGCGGTCTACACGTCCGACTACTTCACTCCCTATCACTAGTTCAGGTGCCAATGCAACCCAATCTCGCAGCAACATTTTATATTTCGGGGGAAAAATCGCATCCCGAACATGTTTGCATTGTTGCTTAGGGTGGTCAGAAGACTCTGCATTTTGTCAGTGTCTTCACCAAACAGAACAATGTCACCGGCACATTCTAAGTCAATAAGCGAGCCAGCAGGTAAAAGGTCTACGTCCGAAAATTCAGACGAGGATAAGGTTATTTCTAGGAGCATGTCTATGATAAAATTAAACAAGAATGGAGAAAGTGGACATCCCTGACGGACACCACTTGATGTAGAGAATTCAAATGACAGTGCGCCATAAGCTCTCACTCGACCACTGGTGTTCGAGTAGAGAGCTTGTATAAGGTTAATGTACTTCTTCGATACACCTTATAATGACAGACAATGTCACAGAACCTCACAATCCACAGATTAAATGCCGCCTCTAGGTCCAGGAACACGGCTATTTTCGGACGTCTAAATGGGTGTCTGTGTTCCAGGACCTGTCGTAGTGTAAAGATGTGGTCTATACAGCCACGTCCAGATCTTAAACCAGCCTGGTTTTCTCTAGTCTGCTCTTCACGAGCCTTCGTTAGGCGCCGAAGTATTATTGAGGCCAATATTTTAGATACTATATTAGTTAGACTTATTCCTCTGTGATTGTCACAAGAAGACTTCTGTCCTTTCTTATAGATTGGGACAATCAGTGATTGAGACCAGTCGGATGGGATTACGTCCAGTTCCCAGATTCTACCTAAGATCTCAGTCAATCTAGCTGCTAAAACTGGACCACCATCCTTAAATATCTCAGGGGTCAGTCTATCAGGACCTGCAGCTCGTCCTCGCTTCAGATTTCCTAACGCTTTTTCAATTTCATTAAGACTAGGGGGACTTAGGTCGATTTGCCATTCAGGATGACTGGAGATCGTGGGTAACCGAAGAGTGCCTTGAGGCCAGTTGAAATGATCCCTAAAGTGTTCTGCCCATCGGTCCAGTTTCCTCGATTGAGAATGGATAATAGTCCAGTCCTTTTCCGAGATAGTCTCACTCATACTTGGGTTTCTAATACCAGTCTCCTTGATGAGTCTAAATAGTTGCCTACTGTTGCCTATCGCTGTCGCCTTTTCCATCGCTTTTGCTTTCTCCACCCACCACTGAAATATATTCTTCGCCTTAATATCACTAAGTAGAACTCTAAGAGGCTTTCTTACGGTGTCTTTCCTACGCCAAGTAAGCCTCAAACAAATGCGCGCTCGCACTAGGGCATGATCTGAATCTAAACATGTGCCCCAGAACGAGCGACATTCCTCTATCAAACCTCTCCATCCGTGGCTGATGGCTATATGATCTAGTTGGGTCCAGCGTTGGGACGGCTTTGGGGGTCGACATGTCAGGAGATGCTTTTCCTTATGCCTAAAGTTATTGTTTGCTAGGAATAGGCGGTTATCTGAGCACAGTTGCTACATACGGTCGTCACATCAACATTCTGCCTGTTAATAAGTATTGAGATAAGCGCGAAATGAACAGAGAACAGCATGAATATAGTTGAAAAAGAGACCATTGATTAATTTTATTACTTCTCCATTACGGTTATTCACAATTAGTGTGATTATGATTATACATTCAATTAAATATTAACGAGATACAGTTCTATCTAGCTGAAGAGTCTTAAAAAAGATAAAACTCTCATTTCGAATACTACTGCTAATCGAACACTAAATATAATTCAGTCTTTACACTTTACATGTTTGAATAATAATAATATAGAGAGCCAGTCAGAGGTAGCTGAATTGCAAGGTATTAGTGCATATTATTTTACAACCAAATAGACCTGCTCTTCCAATCTTGCTTTCTCATTCAAGTAGTCATTTCGGGGTTAGTTAGCAGGTATCACGTTCAGATCTTGGACATCGCCCATCATAACAAATAGTTTCATTTTATTTACTGATGTTCACAGTAAAATTTCATCAGTCAACACTTATTAGTATGAATCTACTATAGACACATTAAACAATTAGAAGACAATATCATATATCAAAACTTTCGTTCTATACACGTCTCTAGTGAAACAGTATTATGCACTAATGAAACAAACCAGTTTTACCTTTCCATTTTTTTGTAAATGACACCGATCATAATTCATTTTGGTTATGAGATTATCATAACATTGTATCAGTAAGATTGTAATAATATGTTTCATTTTGAAAAAAGTCCATATCGTAAACTGATTTTAGCTAGACAATTACTGAAAACACAGTGCAGTTACACAATATAATATTTTCAATTTCAGCAACCAGGACTGACAACTGCTTCACATGTTGAACATTCAAACCTTCAAAGGCTAGTTAGTAGTAAGCATGCTACATCAAAGCCAGTAGTTAACAGTTTAAATAAACTGTTCAAAGCCCCAGTTGATTGGAATGCTTAAACAATCCAAAGTCATTCAGTGATGATGCGAAATTTCTCGATAGATTTCAACTTTAACAGTTTCCTACGTCTTATTCACATTTAAGCAACAGTTAAAGTTAATGCGTAAAAGTTTACTAAAGTTCAAATTCATAATGATAATATGATGATGACAAACTGATAAGTAATTTTCTTTTTTGTATGAGTCATTCTTACTTACATTAAATAAACTTTGACCAACAACACCTGGAACAAACCAATTTGTTCGACCAGCATTAAAACTTGGTGTAATACTACTACTACTAGTAGGAGCAAAATATGTTGGTGTAATTGAACTAGACTGATTTCTTGGTGTCCCAGTTGTTTGATTTCTATCAGTTGACTGTTGTTGTTGTTGTTGTTGTTGATATTTCGGTCTTGGCACCAATGTGCTTGTACTAATTTGATTTATTATGAATGGTTTATTTTGTGAATTTTGAAGGAAATTACGTTCAACTTTTTTCTTCGTTCCATGATTATTGCTATAACCATCTCCACCTGGACCAGATACTTGTTTCAATTCACCATGATAATATTGTGGATTTCTGCCATGCATTTCCATGTATGGATGTTTTAATAATGCTTCACTGTTAAGTCGTTCCGTAGGATCCATGCTGAAACAACTCTAAATTTAATGAAAAGAAATATCTTAATACTAATAGAACATTTCTGTGAATTTTTTCTTTGCGATTAAATTTCAGTGTTCAGATCTATAATTATTATGGTTTAGCTAAACTATTGGGGAACTTTATCAATGACCTTGGTAAATTTAAACTGCCCAACCAATCAGAATACAGCTAGTATGAATAAATGATGATTACTGTCAGCATAATGATTTAGGTTTTGTGTCATGGATTAGGATTTAGGGTTCGAATTAACCTAAGGATTTGGAGATTAGGATACGAGGGTAAATCTGAAATATGCAACTAAGCTAACTGTGAACATGAAAACCTTTTCAAGATCACACTACAGTTGATAGAGTACGGTTAGGAATTATTGTTAAGGCTTAGATTCGGAAGTGAGGGTTAGTATTTTCATCACACACTGGTATTAGCTATAGTGCAAGAATACTTTGAAACGATATAGAAGAATGAATTTTTCAGAATAAGTCTAGTTTATTCGTGGTACCTTTTCATCGGCCAAACACGTTAAGGTGTCAAGGTGGTTTCTTCAGTTGTTTCTGAGTGCGATTAAAAATGGGGCTTACAATAAATCCTAATTTCAGACAATTGGGAATCTTCTAAGACAAACGGGAACGAATAGTAACTCAGATAGATTGAGCATCTGACATATCTCAACACTTCAGCATTAATGAACGTACCAGTGGGAGATAAGGAAGACAAGACTTTTAGAAGAGCTTTATACTCTGAATAGAAGTTGAAAGGCAAAACACAACTCTGTTTATATAGTTACACTCAATGACTTTGGGGTCTATGAAAAAGTCATAAAACGGTAAATAATAACTTCCAGTCAGATCACAGAGAAACTCATTGCGTCAGTAATATGATTTGGTCAAAAACATAATTTCGATGTTATTCTTTAACGAAAAGTACTAGGTTTTGATAAAAAAAAGAATTGAATAAACTAAAATATTGCTAGAACGGGATGCTCAACTCTCTATGCAAATTAGAAAACTGAATGGAGAACAAAGATTCAACCATCGAACTGAATTTCTATGTACACAAATCATTGGTAAAAATAAAGTTGTTATTCTGGTCTACACAAGAATAAATAAACTGAGACCTTGGTAAAAACGACTTAAAAAGTGAGCATGCCCTTAACAAGAAGCGGTTATTGACCGATTCGACCAACTACATTCCGGGAAATATGACTGGTTAATTCATGTGCTCATGATTACAATTTAGAGTTAAGATTATAATGCATAGTTTAGGTTTTAAAGTTTGAATTTGGAGTTACAGTTTTTAATTTAGGGTTTGAGATTTGAGGTTTTACATTAGGTTTATCTAAGTTTACACACTATGCCCTAATCCTTACCAAACTCTTAATTATACGTAATAATCGTTTTTCAGCAGCGTTACATTAAGCAAAAGATTTCATAATTCAGTCAACCAATGACAGTTCCTTTGTTATTTCACAAACTTCATTTGATGTACTCTGCAACCTTCAAACGATTTGATCATTCCCCGTTGACTCGTGTTTATAGTTTAGCTCAGCTACATCCTTTAACAGTGTACATTGTTCCTAATATCCCAAACAACGTTTTGCCGTGAGATGGTTAGTGAGCACTGGAACATGATACATTCGTACTTGGGTAGGCAATCAATTATGTGGTCCGTTTTATTAAGTATAGCTTCATATATAGCCTGTTTTTAAGCTACAATGTGGTACTGCCCAGTTGCTAAAACTAAATTAAGTGGAACAGGTTTTAAAATCCACGTCTAATTGGTCAAAAGTTTGGCTATTAAAACAATCAACTTATTCATGCAATATATAACAATGTATAAGTTAGGACTTTTAAATCTTTTTTCGATAATTATTTAGCTTTTACTGTCCCGGAATCTGACTCCAATTCGGAGGGACCCTTAAAACTTTCTTTCAATTTCCATTTATCATACTTATGTGAATCTCATTTGTGAGACGGCCACAATAAAAAGTTAAATACGGAATCAGATGGATGAGTTTATTTCATGCAACCATTCACTGAGACAGACATAAAAATAAGAAGCAGTGAAGTCAATAATTGGGCAGCAAAAGTTAATTGGTTTGTTCAAAAGCCAGGACAAGCCATGTAGGCTCAACTTATTAGTACACACTCCAAGCTATTTATTTTTGATATATTCAACAATGTCGAAATAGGAAACTTTCAGGTTTGACAATGGACATCATCATCATAAATACTTTTGCATGCGTCACATAAAATTTGACCGTTTCCGGTGCTTATGATTTCCCATCAATCGGTTCTAATCATACACGATTAAAAAACTCGTACAAATTGTTTTTTTCCGGATAAAGACTAAAGCAAATAGTGACTTAGACAACTAACTTATGGACTAGTGATTTATACAATCTAATTGTATAATTATTAGTCGACTAGACTGTCAGGTATATATATATATTTCTTTTATCATAAGGTTTCTAATAACCCACAAATTATGATCATACAATAAATTTACTGTTGCTATTTCACTGTCAGTTTATTATTTATAATCTCGTTTACTAACAGTCACTTTTGGATCACTCATTTTTTGACACAAATCAATCTAAAGTCGGTATGATGAAAATAATTTCGTCAGTAAATAATTATTTCATTCAAATATTTTAATAACAATAATAAGCTATCGTCTTACCCGTAAAAAATTTAATTCTTTTGAAGTGATTGGAGGTTGTAACGAAATGAATTTCTCTTCTAAATCTTTCTATGGAAATAAAAATCAATATATTGGAAATTAAAATATGATGTGATCAGTTTGAAAAGATCATCAAATATGAATAGATAAGTTTAGTATGAAGGTCAATACATTAAGCAGGTTTCATCATCAGAAAATTATGATGATAAAGATGTGATTAATAAGTAAGAATGCAAAAAGCGACTATTGAAAATCAGGAAGCACAATGAAGTTTGTTCGTCATGGACACAGATCTTCTCGACAGTATGCGTAAATAACTCATTGAATATTGAACATAAAATTTTTGGTTCACAAATTCCACATTCCAATAATAATAGTAATTGCATCGCGGGGTTGTTGTGGAGATTGTTAAGTTTTTTATTTGTAACCATGAATCGATCAACGGCCGTCTTTCAGTGCTTCCAGGTTTCTAATGGTGTTCTAACATTGATTGATTGATTCATGGTTACAAATAAAATCATAGTAAAAATATTCATATGTTCACTTGTGACCAGTATCAGGATGAGATTTTGATGGAGTTTTAATTAGAAGTTATGACTAATGGAATTCAACTTGGTTGAGTGTGAGACAGTTGTTCACCGCATACAATAGAGGATGATGGTCAGGCAATATTGGGAAGTGATTGTCATGAAACAGCCAGATCACTGGATGCTGGTTCACTAGTCTAGAAACTGCATATGTCTAAGATCAATTTATTAATTAAACTATGAAAATTCTACAATCTCTACAAACCTTGATATATTAGTGAAATTTACCAGATTAATTCGAAGTTTATAACGAATAAAAAGGATGAAGGAGATTGATTTATCTTTTCAACAAACAGATACAGTGTTTGATGTACAACGGTAAATAAATCCTAGCACTTATAATAACTTTGTTAACACTGAGCATCGCTACTGAATTTGTTAGTTTTATCGAACACTACTAACCGAAGGGGTTTTAGTCCAGTATCGTAATCAAGTTCAAACACAGTCCACATGAGATACTTATACATAGATAATCAGGTTAATCATTACACCATTATCTATCCCTACCTCCAATCAAATATATTGTTCCTCTTATTATTTATCATCTTCCTTTTTTTCTTGTCATTGATATATCGTTTTTAAGGTGTTCTCTAGTACTAGTGTTGTTCTATTCTGTTGTATCTACAGTATTCACAGGATATAACATTAACTTGTTTAGTTTAATGTTCTGTGCTTGGGTTTTTTTAGAGAATAAATTT